AATTATTAAATATAATATCACTCACTCGTCTTGTTAACAGTGACAGCAGGGGGAGAAGGGCTTTCAGAAATTTCAACAACAAAGTTTACCTCAGAACTATTTTTTGATGTATTTTAATCCTTGTTGCTTCTACCTCTCTTCTCTCTCCCTGTTTCTGGATACTGAGAGGATACGAATGGATTTTCATAAGGGAAATTAATATTTTAATGATTATTGTTTTTGGTGGACATAAACCATACATTTACCATACTTGTTCATTACTCATTATTATATCACGAAGCAATCTGTAATAATTTATCTTTATCTACTTATCTTTATGATTTTTCAAATAATAACAATCGAAATACTCCTCTTTCCAACATTATTTTATTATTAACGGACTAACCGCTAATTCACTCAAAATTTTAGGCAAAAAAGACACTGCGAATTGCTGGTAATGCTTCGTGGATATTTTAGTGCACATTTAGTTGTCACTAAATGTCATTATGTGACTAATTACGACGGATAAAGTGTGATAGAAACTGTCAATGCAGGCATGACAGTTTTAGTAGCTCATTATTTGATAGATGCCGTACTTTCGAAATTGGTCGAGCAGATTTTTAGTCTAGATATTTGCTAGAAAATATTAGTTAGTCGGTGACAGTTTATGATACTACAAAACTGCAATAATTCCCAGGTGATGAGATTTCTGTCATGACTACATCAATTATTATGGGACGTTTAATGACATTCTATCGACTTGACATGATATGACAGGTTTTATTTTTAAAAAATTTGTCATATTTTGTATCTTTTTCGTTTCTTGTGATAACTTGAAATTTTATATAAAAATTTCCACGGGGGTGTTTAGATCTCTAGATCTGTTTTAGGCATCTGCTTGTTTTTTTTATTCGTTAAGGTTTGTGGTGTTGGTTGAGATGAGGAATATATTAGGGACAGGTGAGGACGAAATTGACATTTCATACGATTTTTAAAATATTAATAGGTCAGCAAATTCATCAATTGAGCTCAAGAAAAAAAAATCATTTCATTAATAATTTAATTAGATTTCAACGTGTGGAGAGAATTGTTAAGTGTGCATTTTTCATCCTCACTCCCTAGAGCAATTTTATAAATCAGTTGTGGGTAGTTGTAAGTGAAAATGCCAGATTTATTTAGTTAGAGATTTAGAATAAATCTATTTCTTGAATATCTTCGCTTGTCAGATGTCTATTATATTCTCATTGAACATGTCTTCATAATTATCCTCGGCGTTTTGTTGATTAATTAACCAATCCTCGTCGTAGATCACTCGATCCATCGTCGAGGGGTAGAAAATAGTGAGAATGCTGATTACTCCGAAAATTACCCAGTAAGCAATCTAGGAAAATGATCTAATGAAAATGAAGTGTCAGTTAAAAAAAAGTTTCTTAAAAAAATTTTGTAGCTTGAATTGTCACTTTTATTCCTCTGGAAATTATCGATTGATTTTCATTTTTCCGTGCCACCGAGGCGATATCGATTCTCCATTTTTCATCGATAAAGCAATCCATTTGGCCGAAATTATGAGACGTGGAATTTTCGAAGTGAGTGGAAACAAATAAATGAAATCTTTCAGCAATTGATTTTCGAATTTTCGTTGGAAAAAAAGAATCATTCTCTCCTGCATTGATTCAATTGAAAATAAATTAAATTAAATGAATAAATCAAATTAGTTAATTTTTCTAATTGTTATTGAATAGTTGGCACTAAATTTTAAATTAACAAGCCAAAATTAATGAATGAATGAATGATTAAATAAGTCGAATTTTCAAAATAAATGAAAAAGAAAAGAAATTAAATCGCTCAAACATAGTTCTCAAATTTTTATTCATAAAATAAATTACTCTCCATTCTAACTCAATTCTTAAAAATTAATCATGCTGACTTAAAATTAAAAATAATTGAGAAATTTGACATGAAGTATCGATGATGAGGATGAAATATCGAGGTTTCTGAATTGAGACTAAACGAGAAATCAGTCGAATTCAAGAGATTCTTGATGGCTCCTGCCGGGGTATGAAGACCCACCCATTGTTCCCAGGAACTGCTGAATTCACTGAGGGCGTCGATGTCACTCCCTGACCCTTCATCAGCTCTAGCTGGCGTTTCAAATTCCTGTAGAGTTTCACTAATGACTCCTGAGGGCAAACAAATTTCCATTTAAACGCGCCAATAGCGAGAAGACAAAAGGCAACAAAGCGATTCTGCCAATAGCTGAGCTTTCAAGGAATGTTTCTGGATCTTATCACACCAATGGATCAACCACACCAAAATTCCTACTTCCCTACGCCTAACCGTCTTTAATTCGATCATTCAACAAACAAAGTCCTCACAATAATCTTGGTATCCCTTGAAAGACTCGACTACGAAAACGCTGTATTGAATTTTACAAGAAGAATGTCTTTTGTGTGAATGCAAAATTGCTACCTTTTCGTCCTCGAGTTTGCTGAGCTCCTGCTGATCCTTCAGAGCATCTGGACTTAAACTCTTAAGCATATCACTTCTGTACTGACCGACGAGGGCAATCTCAGTCTGAATTTTAAGATATTCCTGCGCCAGGAGCTTGTGCTCCTCGAATATCTCCTTCGATATTGGACAACTGTTGTCCGGTGTCAGGGGTCGCAAATCCGCATCCAAAACTCGATACACGTCGTCCAGGTCATCTGCACTTGTACTGCTTTCTATTCCACCGATGAAGAGACAAAAAAATGAATAAGTTAGTGAGAAAAGTGGAAAAAGTCAGTAACGAAGAGATAAAGTGAGATAAATTGACTTTAAAGTCTTTAATAATATCTAATGATAAAAAAAAACTATCGATTTTGAGAAAGAATGTCAAGTCAGCTTTGTTTCGCAATTTCATTGTCTAGAAAAAATTCTTTGTAATTTAAAATCGATATCTTTCGAGATAAATCAAAAGAAAAACTAAGAAAAATATTAATCTCTACTTGTCACTTTATTATTTCAGTAATAAACTGTAAGTGTAAATAATTTCTGCATTTCTGATTATATTAGAATAACGCAGTTAAACTGGCTGAATTTTATTTTCATCAACTATGGAGTAATTAAAAAAACTATTGATTAAAAAAATATGAAACGATTATTTTTTTTGTGAGTTCAATCAGCCAGACAGATCTCCTTCAATGAAATAAGTTTACTACCAAGAAAATGACTAATAATCAAAAGAAAATCCTGTTAAGTTCAAGAAACAATACAAGTAATTTCGGCTGAAGCTTCTCGCACTCCCATAATTGAGAGATTAACGAAATCCCCCATTTATTCCACAATAATAATATTTTATACAAATTTTTTTGGTAATGATAAAAAAACAACTCTCTCCACTCTTTCTTTAAATAGCTAGAGCAATATTTGCTAAAAAATGAAGGACGATAACTAACTCAATAGAAACCAGAACTTCTCGAGATATTCGGTATCCCCTGAGGAGAATCTACTGACACTCGCCTCCCTCCTCTGAATCACAGTCCTCGTATTGTAATGCGACATTACTCAATTGTACTTGTTCACAAATGCATTTTCCCTCGACGTGTCTGCTTTTAACATTAGTGAAAAAACATGTTTTGTGCTTCAATGGAAGCAAAAAATCATTTGTTCGTTGTTGAAGAGAAATGTGAATTATCCTTAGAAATAAATCTCTTAGACTTTGTTCGAAATTATAAAAATGATAAAGTTCGATGTGAAAATGACTCCCGCACGATTACTAGTGGACTCTCGTCTTAAACACAACAAACCCACAGCTATAACTGGGAGGCTGACTCAGCTACACCTGCTGTCGAGAGCAAAATCTTCCCCCTCCATCGAGGAAAATTCGCGGTACCAGGAGATGGTTCGGTAATAATAAAAGTTCAACTCCACACAAAGAATTCCCTCGATTTATCCCATCGAGTTCTTCAATCAGCCGTCAGAGACGTCTCAACAAGTGCGCATATCATGCATTAAAAACATTCAAATTTCAAGGAAACATCAGCTTTCTGTAGCTTTTTTGTCGAAATTTTAATTTCCCCCAAACAATGTCCTACCCATTTTTTCCTGCACTCCCATTGTTCCTCCCATTATTCTTAAAGAATGTGGATGGCAAACAATGTCGTCATTAAAAATGAATAAAATTGCTTTTCATTTTTATTCTAATGACGGACTAAAATGCCGACTATCCGACGCCAACTAATAATCAATGTTTATAACAATGGAATGATAATGGCCACATCGACATTCTATCAAGATCCGACTATAAACCGTGAGAGCCGTGGCAAAAAGTACATATATATCAACTATGGGATTCCTTAATTAAAAAACTCACGTAACGTTCTGTATTACGGTTTTATGTATTCTTCTAAGGCATCATATGATATGATAATACCTTTTTCAAAGGAATTACATATCACGATATAATATATTTGATATATTATATATATGAAATATTCCTTGCCAAATCGACCACTTTTGAACCCGATCCTTTTCGATCTGACCGAAAATTTTCCCCTTTTTCCCATCTTTTTCTTCCCCATGGAAAACATTTCTCAGAATTAACAAAGAAAGGTACCAAAAGGTGAAGTTTCGAACAAGTTATGGCTATTTTTAAATAAAAAAAAACATTCTTTTTAATTCATAATTTTCAGGTGGGTAAAAAAATTTAATAAAATTCCAAGGAACGTTTTCCATGGGATAGAAAAGGATAGAAAACTTTTAGCCAGAACCAAAAGGGAATTCAAAAGTGGTCGATTTGGCATGGAATACCCGATATATATAAATATAAATAAATTATGTAATTAATGTAATTCACTTCAATTCAAATGCAATGTAATGTGAATTCACTGTAATTCAATCGGAATTCAATATTGAACATATATTTTTATTATTTATTTATTCGTCATAATGTAAAGATGACTGATTCGTCATGTTGTT